TCGACCCCTAAACATTTGGCGATCATCTCCAAAAGAAATAGGCTTCTATTCTGACCCTTAACCAACCTTCGTTCAAAATTTCGTTAGGATCGGGCCTGTAGCGTGATTACATGCGACCTGTAGCGTGATTACAAATTAACATGGACAGACGGACGGACGGACGGACGGGCATACATAGCTAGATCGACTCAGCTCGGCGAACTAGGAAGATCCATATATACTTTCCTATATGGGAAAACAATATTTCGAGGTGTTACATAAATTCTGGCCCAATCAAACTTATAACAAAGACCAAAAATGGTAAAGACTAGACAAAATGTTGTTTTTTTTATATTAACATGCCTTTGTCATGTGCTGTAATTCAAAGTAGTACAGCCACAAACCATTTGCTCAAAATGCATTTTGTCTAGTCTTTACCATTTTAGGTCTTTGCATGTTAATATAAAAAAAAAACAATTATAGGAAAGAATGACAAATAAAAGTTTGAATAATCCAAAATATTGGTTTCAAAATTCTATTCCATATACGTTCCCAAATGATTGCATACTGTCTTAGCGGTTTAAATTGCTTAACATTGGTAACTATGTTGTTACGATATCATAACAACAGAGGTATTTTTCACAGGGTTGCCATATTTTACTCTGTCTTGTCCTATCTTTATACTCTATGTCTTCGCTTATAATACCCCCAACACATAGTGTTGTAGGGTATAAATATGGGGCCATAAAATTTTTGTGGGTTGCTTCCCGAAATTTTTTATGTTTCCTGCGAACATAAACAAGAAGACAGGCCAAGCAGTGAGAGAAATTAGCGTTGAGTACGATCGGTCGAAATTAAAACTATATTTTATAGTCTGAAAATATAGATTTGAACTATTTACTAGCTTTTCGCCAAACTCCCAAAGAAGTCAGACGATGACTTAAGCCAGTAAAAGAAGCTCTTTATGCAGCTACACCTTGAGTCTTCCAGGGATTTTCTTTTTCTGATATTCCGGGGCCTTTTATTATTGACACACAATAATTAAAACTGGACCACCTTTTTTCTGGTCTCACAGTTACGTTTAGACACACACACATATATTTAACTCTGTTTACTTGGTCTATACTTTTCCATATTGCTCAAAGCTTCCAGGGTCCATAACCTGTGAAATTGAGAAAATCGCCCCTCTTGTTGTTTTGTCGATGTTTACTTGCTTCAGTCTTTTCCATTTTCTTTAAAGTTTGAGCTTAACCCCGTTTATTTAATCATCATCTTTCATCTTTTTTATTCTCGTCTTCGGCATCGAAGAGTTTTACACACAATCTCTATACTCTGGGGATGTCGTTCTTGTATGCAGTGGAGAGAAAAATACACCTTAACTCTTCAGCATCTTTATTGACTATTGAGACATAGATTTTAGTCCATGTTTACTTGGTCCATTCTTTTCCATGCTTTTCAAAGCTTGCCTGAGCCTATAGCCCGTTGATATGAAGTGCTCGTCTTTCTTACTCTCTGATTCGATACACGAATAGATTTACACACAATCTCTATGAGAACTCTGGCAATGTCGTTCTTCTATGCAGTGGGTAGAAAAATAGATATCAACTCTTCGGCATCTTCTTTTTTAGATTTTAGTCTATGTTTACTTTGTCCATTCTTCTCGTCTTCCTTATTCTCGGAATCGACACACAAACAGATTTACATATAATTTTTATGAGAGCTCTGGCGATTTCCTTCAAAGATTGCCTGGGCCCATAACCCGTTGATTTGAGGAATTCGTCCTTCTGGTTCTCGGAATCGACACACGAATAGATTGATACATAATTTTTATGTGAACTCTGGTGATGTCGTGCTTGTTTGAAGTCGGGAGAAAGGCAGATTTGAACTAATCGGCATCTTTATTGAGAGTGATTGATTAACAACCTACGTGATAACAATGAAGGCTTAATGTTATGAATGTTTACATGTTAGCATTCTATTTGTGGGATCTCATATTCAGTAAAATTAAAGTCAGTAGAAAAAGCTCTTTATGCAGCTGCACGTTGGGTCTTCCTGAGATTCTCTTTTTCAGATATTCCTGGACCTTTTATTATTGACACACAATACCCAAAAGTAACGCTCTTAAACTTATCAATTCTGGGCTCTCAGCTGCTTCTACCACACAGAGATTTTAGTCGCTGCTTTCTTCGTCTATATCTAGCCTTGTCCTTTAAATTTTGCGGGACCCATAACCTGTTAATTTGAGGAACTCATCCTTTTAGTTCTCTGAATCGACATATCGAATAGATAGACACACAATCTTCCAAGAACTTTAGAGATTTTTTTATTGAATGCAGTGGAGAGAATGGCAGGTCATAACAGTTCGCCATTTTGAACACCTGAAGCTAAAAATATTCGCATGTTCTATGTGTGAGATCTCATTGTAATTATTTCTCAGTGGGAAAAAGAATCGATGGACATCGAGACGGCACCAGAAAATAATGGGATTCAAAAATCAAACCAACTATGCATTCTATCTACAGAATGTAGTGTAGTTTTGGCCTGCAACCTGTTGTTGTTTTTGTGTAGACATGTGTGTGTGTAGGTGTAAAATTAGGACCTGCCTAAATTTGTTTGCCGGCGCTTGGAGGCACAACTAGTTGCCTGTGAGTTCCAGCTCAATTAAAAGAGCTTTTATTTATTTTTTATACCCTCCACCATAGTATGGAGGGTATATTAAGTTTGTCATTCCGTTTGTAACACCTCGAAATATCAGCATAAAATTCTATGTCGATTTATCAATGTCCGTCCGTCTGTCCGTCTATCCGTATGTCCGTCTGTGGAAATCACTCTAGCTTCCGAACGAAATGAAGTAGGTTGATAAAATTTTACTCAAATGTGTACTATGTCTGCAGGACTTTTGGTATTGAAAATGGGCCATATTGATCAACGTCTTCGGATAGCTCCCATATAACTGTACCTCCCGCATTTCGGTATTTTGACGATTTTAGCTACGTTATTTACCGGAATTGCTTCAATTTTGGTATTTGAAGATCGTAATGGATACTACATCCTAAGACAGAAAATAAGCCATGTAGGTCTACGTCTTCGTATAGCCCCCATATAACGGTACCCCCCAATATTCAGTATTTTGATGATTTTAGCGACATTATTTACCGGAACTATTTCAAATTTAGTATTTGAAGTTCGTAATGGATGCTATAGCCTATCACAGAAAATTGTCTGTGCAGGACCTCGCCTTCGTATAGCCCCATATAACGGTACCCCCGATCTTCGGTATTTTCATGATTTTAGCGAACCTATTTACCGGAATTGTTTCAAATTTCGCATTTGAAGTTCGTAATGAATACTACAGCCTATGACAGAAAATTGTCTGTGCAGGTCCACGTCTTCGTATAGCCCCCATATAACGGTACACCCCGATATTCGGTATTTTGATGACTTTAGCGACATTATTTATCGGAATTGTTTCAAATTTCGCATTTGAAGTTCGTGAAGTTCGATATAACAGCCTATGACAAAAAATTTTCTGTGCAGATCCACGTTTTATAACCACCATGGTACCTCCCTATATTCGACGATTTTGACGATTTTAGCTACATTATAAACAGATTTTTTTCAAGTTTCGCATTTGAATATTGTGATATAAGTTGCCTTGTGACAAAAGTTGCCTATGCAGGTCCACGTCGCCATATAGACTCTAATATACGGCTACATAATTTTAACAGAATTTTAAAATCCTTTTATTTATTATTTTTTTTTCTTTTGAAAATTGTTAAATTCGTACCAAATGGTGGAGGGTATTCAAAGTTCGGCTCTTTTACTTGTTACAGCTTTTTTACTTGTTTTACTTTCGTTGAATTCATAAAAGCCGGTTTAGGCTCTTTGTAACCTCTGAACTTTATTTTCAATATCATCGTCCTTACATATAAAATATAACGGTACTTAATTTTTAGATTTTGTTTTCTTAATATATCCTTAAAAATAACAATCCTTAAAACTACAACTGTTAATCAGCTGATCTACTCACCCTACTTACAGGTGATCAATACAAGGGTAGTTGGCATGCATTCTATTCTCGATTCTCTTGGAATAAAGAATAAAATACATTTCACAATAATATATTTATGATCATTGTTTTTCTCAATACAGACTCCTTCCTCGATTACATTTGATAAAGTCTATAACGGAAATATAATAACGGACGAAATTATTGATTATATAGTTAACGTATTCTTAAATTTCCGACTGGGTCATTATGTGAGAGCTGTGCGTTGTAAGTCCGCAACGCTCACTTTCAATAATTACAAGATTCTTACATTGTGTAGCCTATATATTGCTTAGTTTGTGGCTTATCCTGTTACGAAAAGTCCGGTCTACCTTGAAAGTGCCTAAGTTTTAGCCCTTAAGGATTGTTCCATCCGCACTATTTACATATATTGCGTTCTTATTTTCATTCCTAGTACATTTTCCTTATTAAGTGTCATACGCAAATGCCTAAGCGTATTTGTTCTGCATCAAATTACAATCATTACGCCTAAAATAATTACATGCTCTGACTTGCTTGCATTTCACGAATAGAATAATTAACTAAATTATTATAATACACATGTGAGCAGTCAAAATAAAAAAACGAGCATCTAAAATAAAAACACAGCGTGTTTGTGAATAAATAAATGACAAAAACTTTTACACGCTTCCTCAGCATCGTAAACAAAAAAAGACAGAAAATCTAAAACAAAAAGTTCTCATGTTTACAAACAAAGCAAAATACATACAGTTGTCCAATAAAGTCTACGTACACGTAAAAAAACCCGGTTATTTCAACGAAACGACTTTTTTAAATTGAAAAATTGGTTTAATTGAATAAGTACAGCTTTAAAAGCTTATACACGTCATAAAAGTAATGCAGTTTTTATACATTAAATAATAACAAAAACGAAAACTTGCTTCAATGCCTAAAAAAACTCAAAAAAGTGTACATACAGTTAAATAAAGCTTTTTAAACTATTTAAACGACTGAAGTAAGTTAATATTTTGTTGGACCGCCTTTAGCATCTAATACAGCTTGTATTCGTCTGGACATAGAGGAAACTAAATTTTGTGTGATATATAGCGGTATTTTCTTCCACTCCTCAAGTAAAGCCCTTTTCAGGTCCTCTTTGCTAGATATCTTGTTTTTTCGCACACGCTCGTCTAAATAATCCCACAGATTTTCTATTGGATTAATATCCGGTGATTGAGGAGGCGAATGAAATTGTTTGGCGACATTGTATAGCAGCTACTCTCTTACGATCTGAGCTGTGTGTTTCGGATCGTTGTCTTGCTGAAAGCTCCGATTAGAAGAAAGTCCCAATTTAGTGACAGAACTCTTCAGATTGGCTTTCAACATATTCAAATACACATGTCGATCCATTGTGGTCTCAATAAACACAAGGTTACCCACTCCTGCAGCTGACATGCACCCCCACACCATTTCAGATCCGCCTCCATGTTTCACTGTAGGTAACAAATTCTGCATATCCATCGCTGTATTTGGTTTCCGCCATACCTTTTGCTTACCATCGTATCCAAATATATTAAATTTAGACTCATCACTAAAAATAACGTTTTTCCAGTAATTAAAATCGTCATTTTGATGCAGCTTTGCCAAGTCGAGTCGTTTTGCCATATTCACTTTACTTATGAAAGGTTTCTTCCTTGGGATTCGGCTGTGGAAATCGTTTGCTCTTAAAACTTTTCGAATAGTTTCTGGATGTATGGAGACTTTATTCAATTTTTCGAGGTATTTCGCAATATCAACTGCACTGGTTTTTGGATTAGCGGTAACAATGCGGATCACATCTCGTTTATCGCGGTCGGTCAACTTGCTTGGTCTGCCAGAACGATTTTCAGTTGTTTGGTACTTATTATAATTTTTTACAACAGTTTGTATTGAATACCGACTCATATTAACAATTTTTGCGATTTCCCCGTACGATTTATGTTCTTTGCGTAAACGTATTATTAATTTTTTTCACATCTTGTGAAATTTCGCTTCGTTTTTTTACGTTTTCTGACATTTTTACAACAAAAAGGAGAATTAATCTAAAAATGTTTAGTCGTTTATTAAACACACACACTTGAAACTAAACAACTCAAAAAAATACCGTTATTAAGTGGTGGCACTTTGTTGAAAGTTAGGGATGTGCTTATGATGTATGTACACTTTTTTGGGCACCAAATTTGACATATTACGAAATGTACTGCATATCGGTTATAAGTATGACCTCTTTTATTATTTGTTTTAATTATTTTTGGAATTGCTATAAGCTACATAAATACAAATTTTTGAAACGGGTTTAGTTTTATTAAAAAGGCATTTTATATGACTGTATGTAGACTTTATTGGGCAACTGTATATACGGAGTGACATTTAATTTGACAGTTAACTGAGCGCATTGACCGGCAAAAAGTCATCCAAAAACTACAAGGGAGGCAGAGAGAATTGGGGTACACACCACAATAGAAAACAGCTGCTATCCCACACAACACGACCACAGACAATATGATAGAGCTTGATAAGATACTAGAGAAGTGCGGTGATCGTCATCGTTTACAGACAATCATGTTGTTGCTCTTTTGCGTCATCAATTTACTCTCGGCCATGCATTATTACTCGCAGACGATCATCAGTTTTGTACCCAAGTATTGGTGAGTAAAGATGCCAAATATTGCTTGTCGATAATGGCGTCCATTGGTGAGTGATAATGCGGTAAGCAAATTAATATTCTTCCGTTCGTTTTAGGTGCGCTGAAGATGTAATACCAAATGCAATGCACGCCCCTTCACTTCCCACCCAATCTTCTTGCATATCCATACACAATGATTCATCACAAAGCTGCCGTAAGTTCCACTATGAATACTACATGGGTTATGAGAGTTTAACCAGTGAATTGAATTGGATATGCGATGATGCCTGGAAACTGACACTGGGTCAAAGTATGTTTTTCGTAGGCTCTGTGGTGGGAAGTCTTACATTTGGTATCCTGGCCGATATGGTGGGTAAGTGAGGAAATTTTAAAAATTTATTAAAAATATTGAAAATTATTTTGTTTTCAGGTCGTTTACCAATTTTAATAATTGCCAATGTCGTTGCAATGCTGGGCAATGTTTTGACAATATTTGGCACGGATTTGGTGACATTTTCATTCTTCCGTTTTATATCGGGTCTGGCCACAGATAGCAATTTTGTTATGATGTATATTTTGGGTAAGTGAATTTTTGCAGATTAATTAACATTTTTCTCGGGAAATGCGGTGACTTATTAAAGGTCGGATAGTTTCTTTAGATCCACGAACGCTTTAGGGACAAGGGTATTAGTTATGCTGGTTTCATGAGCCCGAAACGGGATGTGAATTACGAGTTCGAATGAAACGGTCCTATCAGGAACACTTACATATGAATGGATTGATATTCGTCAGTAGCGAAGCGGAAAAAGAATTGAGGAATCGCTCCTCTAAAATAAGCTACGTCCATTAAAATGTGTTTAGAGTGATCAAGCAGTGCATGACTCTTGTTACATCCTAAGTATCCTCTGATAAGCTCCTCTAAAAAAGCTATGTCCATCAAAATGTTATCCTTAGTATCCTCCGATACCTCTTGTAAACCGGGGTCTTCCAAGACAAGACGTCCTTTCTTGTTGAGTGCTTGTAAGACATTATTTTAGGTATTAACGTCATACCTCTTGGGTACTGCATATGAAATATGACTTAACCTAACTTAGCATAAGATGTAAAAGAGAGAGATAGAGACCTAAAGCACACCTCACCGACATACATCCTATGGGGAGGTCATAAACATGTATAGTTATCTCATATGTGGCAAGCAAGCATGCTACTTACTTATCAGTTTGTAGTTTAGGTTACATCTCCTAATCTGACTTAAACCTACCACATGTTGCAAAGGAAAAACCTATCTTAATTATGTTTGTTTTTAAAGACTAGGTCTGCTTACCACAGTTGTCTTATTACTGCCTTCAAAGCTTTGCCCTTGGGTTCTGCCTCTTGGTTAGCCGCTAGTAATTTGTCCTTAGTTTCCCTGGCTACACACAGAGCATCCTTGACGTTCTCCTTTAAATTCGTGACAAGTTTTAAGGCATCTTTATTTTCATTTTCTGTGATATTAAGGCAACCAATCATGCCTTGAAATCCCCTTTCATCTTTTGCCAAAATAGGTCGCCAATATATTTGAACAATATCGTCAATTTTACCACTGTAGCGTCCAATAACTTCTCCATTACAATACCCGCAATATACAGAGGCCATAGGAAGTTCGTTGTCCTCATATATAAAATATCAGTGATGAGTGATTGCCGTCCGATACCACTGCTTCGGAGTCTATTCCCCCCTTGTCCAATTCGGATATTATGTAGACCACTTGCTTTTTCAAGGCACGGATCTCCTTTTTGCTCTACATTTTGAACCTGAATAATTTCAAGATTGATTTTAACATCTTTCGACTACAGCCTCGCTTTTACATTAGTCTGGACTTCTTTAGAAGCATCTTTAAAAACCGCTTATGAACGTCTGGATTGTATATTACTTTCCTTGCCGTGTCCATCCATTCCAAAGATATTACACATCATTTTGAGAAGTGTGATGCGGGATGTTGACGATTTGAAGGTAATACGTAACTTGTCGACGGTTTTACTGTTATCAGAAATTAAGATGTTTGTGTTCGGGTGATGCTGACGTTCGAGAATGTTGACGATTTCGAGGTAATCGAGAACTTCATTGGGCTGACAAGCGGCGAAAAAGCGGGGTTTGAGTGTATGTGCTTGAGATGTTGATGTGCAGGTTTTCGGAGGCGGATTGGAGATTTATTGTATAAACGTTAGCGATTTAAAGTGGAGGTACTCTGGAGCAGCTGCCCAGGTTTTCGTAAACGGATTGAGATACGCCCGGGTTTGGCAGCTCACTGAGCGCTACGGTTTACGACTACCTCTACTCCACTATAACTCTTTGACAATGATATGGAACAGCGAGTCGAAACTCCTGCGGAATTGGTAGCCGAAGCCCTTTTGGAACAAGGAGCCGATGCTCGTAACGACGAAGCCCGACCACTCAAATTAATGAGCGAGCCAGTTTTGGAACAGGTATTCACCGCTAACGCTTTTGTTAGTCGGAGAACGGCAAATGATTCAGGAAATCATCAGCTACCCTTTGGCCAAGGCCCTGCAGAAGCAAGCCTGTTTCATCGTATCACAAACCGAACACTGTATATGACCGGCCCTACCAAGTCAATGAGAATTATTCGCCTTATGCGGTAAAAGTGGTTGATGGTTGGTTCTGTTATCGGTTCCGCAACCGATGGTTAGGCCTTTGTAGATGAAGAGGGACTCATTAGGCTACGGCAGCTCACTGTGGGTATGTTCGGGTTTAGTTATTCGGGATTCTAGCTAGGGTTACGGTTTAGGACTACCTCTACTCCATTATTACTCTTTGACTATGATATGGAACAGCAAGTCAAAACACCTGCGGACAAAGAGCCAAAGCCACTGTGTAAGTGAATTACCGATCACTCAAATAATTGAGAGAGGCAGTCTTGAAAAAGGTATTCCCGCTAAAGCTTTTGTTAGTCGGAGGACGGCAAACGATTCAGGAAATCCTCAGCTACCCTTTGGAAAGCGCCCTGCCGTAGCAAGCCTGCCTCATCGTATCCCAAACCGAACACTATATATGACCGACCCAACCAAGTCAATGAGAATTATTCGCCTTATGCGGTAGAGTGCATATCACAGAAACGAACACTGTGGTTGTAGGTTGGTGCTGTTATCGTCACATATTCTTGTGCTCTGACAATGTCCGTTGTTGTTGTTACTATTAATACGTTGGGTTGTATTGTTTGGTTGGTTGTATGATGTGCCTAATGTCCAAGTGCTCATACTTAAATCTCGTCTAAAACTGCTAGGTTTTATCAGCTTGCCTCTTGATACTTCTTGATGTCAGCTTGTAAAGAGAGCAACTCTGCCAGTAGTTTTCTATGGAAAAAGTTCTGTCAGTAAAGAATTTCTTTGTAGTTTTCTGTTACTAGACATTTTTATCGCCAAAGTTCGGATTATAATTTTGTCTAAATATTTTATGTTACTTAACATTTTATTAAAAAACATTCTCTTAGACTTAGACATGACTCATCATTTGTGCTTGTTTTTTCTTTCCTCTTCCAGTGATGGAGTATTTACGCCCCTCACTGCGCACAATCGGCCTCAGCATCTGCATTGGTTTCTTTTATTGTCTGGGATCAATTGCCGCACCTTGGATAGCTGTGTTGATGCAGTCTTGGCGTGGATTTCTAATGGCCACCTCCGTGCCCTTTGTTATGGTGCCTCTATTCTATTTCATTGTACCCGAAAGTGTTCAATGGTTGATCTCGAAGCAAAAATACTCTCAGGCTGTGGAGTGTTTAAAACGTGTGGCCAAAATAAATGGTAAAGTGGTAGATGATGCCGTTTTCGGTGAATTCATTGAGGAGTGCAAGCGTAGCCAAATGCAACAGCCCAAAGGCAAAGTGGAACCGAATCTTTTGGGCTTATTTTCCACGCCACGTCTCCGGCGTAATACTTTGATATTATTTTTCAAATCGTAAGTAAATGGTTGCGCATGCGCTTCATGTGCCCATGTAGCATTTTGGCAAAAATACTCAAAGCTAATGAGCTGTTATTAATGTTCAATTATGTTTGGCGGAAACGTGATGGCGGTTGGTGTCTCCCCCCCCTCTTGGCTGGATTAGAATGGTGATTACATTGTGCTATGATGCTGTCTCACGTAACGTACAAGGTCTTGGCATTTCACCATTTGTCATGTTTTCATTGAGTGCCACAACCATTTTGCCAGCCTGTTTACTTCTAATTGCTCTGCAAGATCGCATCGGTCGCAAAGCCATGGCATCAATGTCTTTGCTACTGAGTGGCATATTCATATCGAGTACGGGAGCCTTACTCTTTCAAAGTGTGGAAACGGCAGGCGATCAAAGTAAGTAAATGGGAAATTTGGTATTCCATTTGAATGGCGGAAGGTTGGAGGTTGAAATGAAAGGAAAACTATTGAAAATAATGGGAACGGGAAAAAAGGAAAAAAAATAAAGGTATATTTTTTGGAAAAAAGGGAAGGTAATGGGGTTACCAAAATACTGGAGTGCGATATTAAAGCTGGACAACCAAAGAAATCAAAAATAATTTTTGAGGTTTTTTTTTTTCAAAAATTTGTTTTTATTGCTTCAGAAGAGAATATTACCTTGAAGTGTTTATGGGGCAGAATTAAATGTCCTCGTTTCCTTTCAGATGTCACACTGGTTGTTATCCTCTCAGTTATTGGAAGATTTGGTGTAACGGTTGCCTACAACTCGGGAGCTCAATATGCCACAGAGCTAATACCAACCTGTGTCCGGGGACAAGGTGTGGCCGCAGTACATGTCATGGGCTATGCTTTCACATTCTTCAGTTCCTATATTTTACATACACGACAATTCTTTTCCCCATTACCTGAAATAATTTTGGGTTCCATATCATTGGTGGGAGCTGGTTTATGTCTGCTTTTACCGGAGACATTAAATAGGTAAACATCTTCAAAATGCTCACAAAATTAATAATTTTACTAACTAAGAAAAACTACAGGACCTTACCCACAACTCTAAAGGATGGTGAAAATTTTGGGAAAAATGATCGCTGGTTTATTTTCAGCTTTATGGAGAAGCGTACCCAATCGGTGGACACATTAGCGCCATCGGTGTCGTCGAGCAACCATCCGGATACCAGTGCTTATTTTTAAGTTGGTTTTTAAGTCGGCATTTTCAAATTTTTATTGTACAATTGAAATATAATACCAAAGAAATAGTAAATGGGAAACCAAATATGTGATGAGAAAAATATTGATGGAAATTTATACGAAATCTATTTAACATATTTGCATTTAAAGTTATTAAAATTAGGATGGAGTTTCGAAATTTTAAAGCACAAGTAAAAAACGTAATATGTGATGAGAGAAAATCGATGATAAGTTTTACAAAAACAAACAAGCCACACTGTTTTATTAATAGACAAGGTCGACGAAGGGGTTTTTGTTGTAACAGACAAAACCAACTTACATGGTTATGCTACTTCGTTCAGGTTTAACAAGTGGAGAAAGATGTAAATGTTTATAAGTGCGGTTGTAAGATTTAGAAGACTTTCCAAAAGAATTTTAGTTCTATTTAATTCTTTGGTTCATCTTCTATTGAGCTTACGATCTAGTCACTTGGGTAAAAAATGTTTTTTGTCCCCCCTAGTAAACATTACCATCAAGCCACACTGTTTTACAAAAACAAATTTAACATATTTGCATTTAAAGTTATTATATTTATACATATAAGACAACTTTTCAGGATCTGAGATACCCTGACAGCCTAGCTTTAGTGGAGAAAGATGTAAATGTTTATAAGTGCGGTTGTAAGATTTAGAAGACTTTCCAAAAGAATTTTAGTTTTATTTAATTCTTTGGTTCATTTTCTATTGAGCTTACGATCTCGTCACTTGGGTAAAAAATGTTTTTTGTCATAGAAGTTATTTTTCAACAAAACTTCTGGGGAGAATATGCCAGACAAAAAGCAAGGGAACTGGTGAGGATTGGTGGCTCTTTCCGAAACCTAGGTATTCCCTGCCTTTCCCCCTAGTAAACATTACCATGGTTCTCCACTAATAAACAAACGTTGTTTTTATAAAAATAACAATGATGGGATAAAGCCTGACCATTTTGCCCCAACAAAATACTACGGTATCCCCAACAAACAAGCCACACTGTCTTACAAAAACAAATTTAACATATTTGCATTTAAAGTTATTATATTTATCTATAAGACAACTTTTCAGGATCTGAGACTCCCTGACAGCCTAGCTTTAGTGGAGAAAGATGTAAATGTTTATAAGTGCGTTTGTAAGATTTAGAAGACTTTCCAAAAGAATTTTAGTTTTATTTAATTCTTTGGTTCATCTTCTATTGAGCTTACGATCTCGTCACTTGGGTAAAAAATGTTTTTTGTCATAGAAGTTATTTTTAAAATAACTTCTGGGGAGAATATCCCAGACAAAAAACAAGGGAAGTGATGAGGATTGGTGGCTCTTTCCGAATCCTAGGTATTCCCTGCCTTTCCCCCTAGTAAACATTACCATCGTTCTTCACTTATAAACAAACGTTGTTTTTATAAAAATAACAATAAAGGGATAAAGCCTTTTGCAACAACAAAATACTACGGTATCCCCAACAAACAAGCCACACTGTTTTACAAAAACAAATTTAACATATTTGCATTTAAAGTTATTATATTTATACATATAAAACAACTTTTCAGGATCTGAGACTCCCTGACAGCCTAGCTTTAGCTTGTCTAAATATCAACTTCTTGGAATCCTTTTATTTTGGACGCAATGATAGCGCCCTATCAATTGTGGTCTTACATAAGACAACCATCAAACATACTATATTTCGCCGTTTTTTTAATGAATTTTCTCCATTTTCTAATAAAACTATGGAGCAAACTCAGACTTGTTTTTCCGAATTTCGTATTAAACATGCGAAAATTTTGCTAACATACAGATATGCTCCGAATTTTTCTTTTGCGAATTCTAATCGAATTCATCAGGAAACATCGATGTTCTTTTCCGTTTTTTCAAATTTCGGATCAAACATCTGAAAATTTTGCGAATATTGTATCGAACATACAAAAATGTTCAGATTTTTTCTTTTACGAATACTAATTGAATTCGTCACGAAACTCTAATATTCCTTCCGATTTTTCCAAAAAGAAAGAAAAACCCTTCAGAATCTTCGGCGATCACACACAATTTGAAAGTTAATCTGTTATTCAGTATTACACCAAAATATTTAAGGCTTTTGTTTGGTGAAGTAACGATAAAGATTCCTCCCTGGATTCTTGGCTTCAACTTGTCTACATATAAAATCCTTGGAAGTTTGGCTTTAGCTCATCCATACATAAATTTCCTGATTGCCTGGATTCATCTCGACTATACGTCCTGATCGCTTGGCTTTGGATCTTTTACACATTTCAACGTGATGTTTAAAAGTGAATTTGTTATCCAGTACAACTCCCAAATATTTGAGACTTTTGGGCCAGAATATATCGTGGACATCCACCATGATCGTTCTATATTTGGTCCAGTCAGGCCGGGTAGAGAATCGAAACTACATTCAAAAAACAACATAAGGTTGTGTGTTCCTTTCTGGCCTTCGTACATTCGGTTTTTCGAGCCGGATAGTGAATCGAATCCACAATCCATACCATAAGGTTGTTTTTCTTTTCTCACTTTCCCTCGAGCCGGATAGGGAACCGAATTGACAACCGAAGAGCGAAGTTGGATTATCTTCTTATTTTTACATTTTATTCTTCGGGCCGGATAGAGAATGGACTCAACAATCAAAGCATAAGATTGTCTTGAGAGAGAGAGAGAATCGAAACTACATTCAAGAAATAAGATTGTCTTTCTTTTGTTATCTCTACACCATTTCCAGGTGATGCTTGAAATTTAATCTGTTATCCAGCACTACTTCCAAATATTTGAGACTTTTGTGCCACAATATTTCGTAATCATCCAGCATGAGCTTCGAATTGGTGTAGTTAAGATTCCACCCTCAACTACTCTATTTATAGACTCCCTGGAAGGCTGGCTTCCTGATCGCCTGGTTTCAGCTCGACTAGGCTCCTAGTCTCAAGGATTACCATTTAACATGGTTTACTATGTTAGCGTGATGTACTAATCTGTCCAGTACTAATCCTAACTTTGTGGCAGAATATATAGTGACCATCCACCATGAGCTTCAAAACTTCTATATAAAGACTTCTTGATCGACTGGCTTTAACTCGTCTATTTAGACATCGTGGCCGTCTGTCTTCAGACTGGTCATCTGTCAACAGGTCGTTTATATAGAGAGATCTTTGCAGACTTTCTTTCCATATAGACTCTCTGTCCCCTCAGTTCATCCATATTTCCCCCTTTTCCACATTGTTTTTCTTTTTAAAATGTCAATCGTTTTTCCATATGTTATCGATTACAAAATTTACTAAAATGGACATCACATTAAAATTACCCAGGAATTTGCGTGAAATCATTTCGACATCATGTCAAAGTATTTCCTAATACAAACGTCACAACGTTTTTCGTTTCAAACCAAACTAAAAAACAAAAAAAAAAAGACTCACCTGCGCTCCAAAAGATCAGGCAATAAATAACCGAAAATTTGATAGGAAAACAAGATTCGAACAAACATAAAATGCAATTTACAATGGAAGTGCTGTTGTTTTCTGATGTTCTTCTTGTTTCTTTATTGGATCATAAAATCGTAGCTGGAACCTAGGTAGAAGAAAAAAAAACACCAACAAAATCATGCCGTCAAACAATAACGAAAAGGTTAGCACTGGTCTCCTCAGGAAATACATCTGGCAGCCAGCGAGTGGTCTCTAGAGTACACGGACCTAAATACAATGGCAATTTTCGAGTGAACGAGCGAACGCATATCGATGATCGTGGAGAACGCGAAACACACACAAAAGTCAAAATATATGCCAAACGCTTAATGTGATCACTTGCATTTGTGACAAGCTGAAACGACACGATATACTTTTTTGTTTCTGGTTGTCGCCGTCATGCCACATATTAGGTGAGTGTTAGGAGTGCTGTTGAGGTTGTTGGCGATGCCCAATGATACAATTGCGGATTGAAGTACTTGTTCCAAGCACTCAACTATTGTGTCAAACCCGCCATACATTCTCGACCATCCGCCAGACTCGTGAGACTTCTCATTGGGTATCCGCGAATTGTGTGTTTGTTGTTGGCGTCTTTTTTTTTTTTTGTGTTGACATGAAGGAAAAGGTCACGAAACATAATGACATGATTTTCCATGCGCCACAAACGGCAAAGACAACTCCAACCAACAAACTAATAAAATATGTTAAAAGGGGAATTGAGCGTGTGTGTGGATTGTCCAAATGGACAGATGGTGGTAGGGAGACTGTTCCAGTTTTTATTACAGAAGACCACGAAGTCTTGTAGAAGACCGCGAGGTCTTATAGAAAACCACAAGGTCCTAGAGAAGACCACGAAGTCTGATAGAAAAACACAAGGTTTTGTAGAAGACCACGACCAAGACTTGAGAGCCAGGGCACAAAATACATTATACATAGTTTTGAGTGCGGGGCTTCGAAAGTCTAGCAATTAAAAACAAATATTCTAAAATTACATATTTCCTAGCTATCATAAAATATTACAGGTGTACAATTCAGTGATCTTTAAAATTAAGAACAATTGAGTGGATGCGATTAGGTTAAGTTAGATTAGTTTTTGTAGTACTTAAGGAAAATATTTTTAAATAAAACCAAGATTCGATTCAACAATTAAACCATCAGTTTGTATTTCATTCCTAACTTGTAGATTGGCCCTTCGAGTCGTATATTAGAATCGAAAGAACTGTCAAACTGTATGGTTGTGTTCCCTTTCCCATATTTACATTGGTCCTTCGAGCCGGATGTTAGAATCGAATTAACAATGAAAACATTGGGTTTTGTTTTCTTTCTCACTTCTACATCGCACACTAGGTCAAATGACCACTTTTTCTGTGCGAAAGTCGAATTTCGTAAGGGCGATTTTAGACTGATCATTGTTGCCACCATGTAGGGAATAGTCCAAAATAACATAGACTTCACTTTGTTTTTGTAAAATGTCAAACACCGTTTAACAGCAATCAATAAAAGTTACCATTGTAACACGTTATTGAAAGACTGTTTGCGCAGTCTATTATTTTCAGAAGTTTCAAGTGCTTGTTTTTTATCCAGTGTAAATAAATGACGGAAATTTTGAAATGAAAGACAAAATTATAAGTGAGTACTTATGTCCCAGTTAATAAAAAGTGTAG